AGAAAATCACTAAAGAAACAATGGAGTTGAATGACACATTGGACCAGATGGATCTGACGGATATATTTAGAAGTCTACATCCTGAGACCATGGAATTCACTTTCTTCTCAAGTGCACATGGCACATTCTCCAAGATAGATCACATACTGGGACATAAAGCAGCCCTCAATAAATATAAAAGAATAGAGATCATACCATGCACACTTTCAGATCACAGTGCTATGAAACTTGAAATCAATCACAGGAAGAAGTCTGGAAAACCTCCAAAAACATGGAGGTTAAAGAACACCCTACTAAAGAACGAATGGGCCAATCAGGCAATTAGAGAAGAAATTTAAAAAATATATGGAAACAAATGAAAATGAAAACAACAATCCAAACTCTATGGATGCAGCAAAGGCAGTCCTAAGAGGAAAGTACATTGCACTCCAGGCCTATTTCAAGAAATTAGAAAAAGCGCAAGTGCAAAATCAAACAGATCACCTAAAGGAACTAGAGGCAGAGCAACAAAAGCACCCCAAACCCAGTAGGAGAAGAGAAATAGTAAATATCAGAGCAGAAATAAACAACGTAGAAGCCCAAGAAACAGTTGAACAGATCAATGAAACCAAGAGTTAGTTTTCTGAAAAATTAAACAAAATTGACAAACCTCTAGCCAGGTTTCTCAAAAAGAAAAGAGAGAGCACTCAAATAGACAAAATCATGAATGAAAATGGACTTGTTATAACCAACCCCTCAGAAATACAAGCAATTATCAGGGAATACTATGAAAAATTATATGCCAACAAATTGGACAACTTAGAAGAAATTCCTAAACACACACTCACTACCAAAATTCACATGGGAAGAGCTAGAAAATATGAACAGACCCATAACTAGTGAAGAAATCGAATCAGTTGTCAAAAATCTCCCAAAAAATATGAGCCCTGGATCAGATGGCTTCCCTGGGGAATTCTACCAGACATTTAAAACAGAATTAATACCCATTCTTCTCAAACTATTCCAAAAAATAGAAATCTAAGGAAAACTTCCAGCAAAAAAGGGAAATATAGGCCAATATCCTTGATGAATACAGATGCAAAAATCCTCAACAAGATACTTGCAAATTGAACCCAATGGCACATAAAAAGAATTACCCACCAAGATTAAGTGGGATTCAGTCCTGGGTTACAGGGCTGGTTCAACATTCGCAAATCAATCAATGTGATACATCACATCAACAAAAGAAAAGATAAAACCCATATAATCCTGTCGATAGATGCAGAAAAAGCATTTGACAAAATATAGCATCTCTTCTTAATAAAGACTCTCAAGAAAGTCATGATAGAAGGAACTTACTTAAACATCATAAAAGCCATCTATGAGAAGCCTTCAGCTAACATCATCCTCAACGGGGAAAAACTGAGAGCTTTCCCCCTGAGATCAGGAACACGACAGGGATGTCCACTCTCACCACTGTTGTTTAACATAGTGCTGGAAGTCCTAGCATCAACCATCAGACAACAAAAGGAAATCAAAGGCATCAGAATCGGCAAAGAAGAAGTCAAAGTCTCACTTTTCACAGACATGATACTCTTACATAGAATACCTGACAGACTCCACCAGAAGCCTACTAGAACTGATACATGAATTTAGCAAAGTTGCAGGATACAAAATCAACGTACAGAAATCAGTTGCATTTTTATACACCAACAATGAAGCAACAGAAAGAAAAATCAAGAAGCTGTTCCCATTCACAATTGCACAAAAAACCATAAAATACCTAGGAATAAACCTAACCAAAGATATAAGAGATCTGTATGATGAAAATTATAGAAAACTTCTGAAGGAAGTTGAAGAAGACACAAAGAAATGGAAAAACATTCCATGCTCATGGATTGGAAGAATAAATACGGTTAAAATGTCATTACTACCCAAAGCAATCTACACATTCAGTGCAATCCCAATCAAAATTGCACCAGCATTCTTCTCAGAACTCCATTAAACTATCCTAAAATTTGTTTGGAACCACAAAAGACCCCGAATAGCCAAAGTAATATTGAAGAAGAAAACCAAAACAGGAGGCATCACCATCCCAGACTTTAGCCTCTAACACAAAGCTGTCATCATCAAGACAGTATTGTATTGGCACAAAAATAGACACATAGATCAATGGAATAGAATAGAGAACTCAGATTTGGACCAAAAGTGTTACAGCCAACTAATCTTTGACAAAGCAGGAAAGAGTATCCAATGCAAAAAAAGACAGCCTCTTTAACAGATGGTGCTGGGAGAACTGGACAGCAACATGCACAAGAATGAAACTAAATAATTTTCTCACACCATACACAAAAATAAACTCAAAATGGATAAAGGACCTGAACATGAGACAGGAAACCATCAAAACCCTAAAGGAGAAAGCAGGAAACATCCTCCTTGACCTCCACTGCAGCAATTTCTTACTTGACACATTCCCAAAGGCAAGGGAATCAAGAGCAAAAATGAACTACTGGGACTTCATCAAGATTAAAAGCTTCTGCACAGCAAAGGAAACAATCCATTAAACTAATAGGCAACCGATGGAATGGGAAAAGATAGTTGCAGATGACATATCAGATAAAGGGCTAGTATCCAAAATCTATAAGGAACTCCCCAAACTCCACACCTGAAAAACAAACAATTCAGTGAAGAAATGGGCAGAAGACATGAACAGACACTTCTCCAAAGAGAACATCCAGATGGACAAGAGACACATGAAACGATGCTCAGCATCCCTCTCCATCAGGGAAATACAAATCAAAACCACACTTAGATACCACCTCACGCCAGTCAGAGTGGCTAAATGAGCAAATCAGAGGACTCTAGATGCTGGCGAGGATGTGGAGAAACGGGCACCCTCCTACACTGTTGGTGGGAATGCAAACTAGTGCAGCCACTCTGGAAAACAGTGTGGAGGTTCTTCAAAAAATTAACAATAGAACTCCCCTATGACCCAGCAGTAGCACTGCTAGGAATTTACCCAAGGAGTGCTGATGCACAGGGGCACATGTACCCCAATGTTCATAGCAGTAGTCTCAACAATAGCCAAAACATGGAAAGAGCCAAAGTGTTCATCAGCTGTTGAATGGATCAAGAAGATGTGGTTTATCTATACAATGGAATACTACATGGCAGTGAGAAAGAATGAAATCTGGCCATGTGTAGCAACATGGATGGAACTTGAGGGTGTTATGTTGAGCGAAATAAATCAGGCAGAGAAGGACAGCTACCATTTGTTTCCACATATAGAAGGATTAGGAGGAACTTAGCGGAGGACCGTGGGGGAGAAGAAGGGGAAAAATAGTGGTGGAGAGGGAGGGAAGCAAATCATGAGAGAGTCCTGAATGCTGAGAACAAACTGAGTGCAGATGGGTTGGAGGGGAGGGGAAGGGGGGTGATGCACATGGAGGAGGGCACTTGTGGGGATGAGCACTGGGTGTTATATAGAAGCCAACTTGACAATAAATTATAAAAAAAATAATAAAACCTTGGGAGTATGCTTTGTCATGTTAGGAAATCTGTTTCTGCCAAGGGATGTGGACTATCTTGAAAAAAAAAAAAGCCTTCCTCTCAATCCTCTCCCTCTCTCAGTGACATAATATGCCATAAATAGCACACCTTTTGAGCCTGTTTGATACGGTAATGTTTCAATGTGTAACAAGGAATGTCAGTGAATGGTGCTTGGTAAATATTGTGTACCAGGCACTTTACATACGTAACATCATTTAACTTTCCCAGCAACCAACACTGGTAAGAATTCACTTTTCTATTTGGCAGATGAAGAAACCTGAAGGTCAGAGAAGTTAAGTTATACTGATGCTGAGGATTCTGCCTTAGGTAAAAATCTACACTTTAGAGTTCTTGTCATAAAGACAATTGCGTTCTAATTTTGCTTGATTCAGTAGAAATCAAGTACCAACCATATTCTAAACATTGAGCTCAGTACTGGAAACCAGAATAAATTGTGGCCCCTTTGTTGGAGGCAGAGAAATAGAGCATCTAATACAATGCCTTATGGGGAGGGAGGTAAGTATAGGATGTTAATGGCACATGTTAGCATGTTAGGGGCACCTGGCCTAGCCTCTAGGGGTGTGTGTGTGTGTGTGTGTGTGTGTGTGTGTGTGTATGCATGCATGCATGTCTGTGTGTGCATGCGTATGTGCAGGGGTGTTTGTGTAGTAGAGGAGTTAGGACAGACTATTAGAGAAGACTGAGCTGAATCTTGGAAATGACTCAGTGTTAGGTAAATGAAGAATGTGGAGGGAAGGGGTTGATGAAAAAAATACTCCAGGTAAAGGAAAGAATATGACAAAAACAAAGACGTATGGAACTGCTTGGCACGTGCCAGTTACTGTGAGGTCAGTGTTAATTGAAGTGAACCTTAATGGGGGGTGTTGAGGCATGAACCTGGACTTGTGGGCAAAGGACAGACCTTGGAGGACCTTGTGTGTACAGATTTCCTACCCACGTAAGGAGTGTGAGGACTAGCCATCCTGCACCGCCTTCCAAGGCCCCATTCCTAGCACCTCTCCCTTTCCTCTTCTGTCTTCCTCACTGTCTCCATCTCATCTTCCTTCTAGTCCTTGTCTGCTCCGCTATGTACACTAATAAAGATGCGCTACTGAATAATCAGGTAGCAGAGAGGTTTACAGGAAAAATTAGTTTATTGAAAACAAGTGAGCAGCACATTACAGAGGAGGAGGAGGGTATGGGCAGCCTTCAGAGTTCAGGGCAGGTTTGCAGAGTCCACTCCAAGGACTTTTAAAGGGAGATCTACCATCCATGGTGTCTTCTGCTGATGGAGACACCTGGGTAGTTGACTGAGGTGACGGACTTCTGCTTGTGCCTCCAACTGGTAGGATGTAAAAATGACTATTGTCACCTTATGAAAAATATCTACTTTTCTTTCCACTTTCTTCAAATGCAGAATAGGTGCTTAGGCCTATTCTTAGGTGTGCTGCTCTGCAGGGATGGTGGGGGTCTCAGCAGCAGGAGGAGGTCCTGCAGGTGGTGCGGCAGGGGGCAGGCTGGCAGCAGGGGGGGCGGCAGCAGGGCGCCTGCACAGAGATGGGCTGGCAGCAGGTGGAGGCCCAGCAGCAGGGGCGGCAGACCACGGCCGTGCAGGACGTGGGGCAGCAGCTGATGGGGCGGCAGCAGCCCTCCTGCAGGGAGCAGGGGTCGCAGCAGACGGGGCGGCGGCAGGGCTCGCAGATGGGGCGCGTGCAGCGGCAGGTGCAGGTCACGGGGCGGCACACGGTGGTCTGGCAGCTGACGGGGCGGCAGCAGCAGGGGTCGCGGCAGCAGCAGGGCTGGCAGCAGCAGGGCTGGCAGCAGCCTCCCCCGCAGCCCGAGGAGGAGCAGGTGGAGCCACAGCAGGGGCCGCACATGGTGGTGTCTGAGGCTGGTTTGGGTTGGAGGGGTGAGAGGACTCGGGTGTTGTCAGGTGTGATTGCCTCCCTCCTGCTCTGGGCCCTTTATATACCCTGGCCGGGTGCTGATGACCCCCATGACATAGGCTATTTCTTGTTAATCTTCTGGCCAATTAAGTGAGGATTTAGTGTTGAGTAAATGATGTTTATTAACTCTTCACCTCATACACATCCATGCACACAACCACAGACATTCCTTTGTTTTCTCAGATTGTTTATTCTCACCAAATCTGGACATTGGATTCACTTCTGATGAATATCCTTTTGAAACATTCCTAACATATAGGAGAGAAAATAATGTGTTTTCTAAACTAGATTAGCATCTAATTACTCTGCCCTTTGGCCTTGAAGTCATCATTTTATTCCTGGACTTCAAGGACTCAAATAATTACCACCGAAATGTGACCTGTCTCATTTTCACTCATGCCCCTGACTATAACAGGTTAATAGCAGCACTCTTGTATAGGCCATTCGTGCGAGCCATGGGCTCACCACGACTCCTCAAGAGGCACATTTGTGGTTTTCACATGAGTAGGGACCACATGGCACCCTGGACCCCTGCCACCCTGGTAGTTTCTCTTCCCCAGTAGGATCTGGGCTGTCCTGCCCTGGTTGTTGTCTCCTTATTCTCTTGGAATGCCTTTGTCTTCCTTCCAAGCCGAACTCAACTTCTACTGTGACTGTAAAGTTTTCATCAAGGATCCATTGCAATTTTTATGTTCGTAATTTAATCATTGAATGTGTAGATTCTGGGAAGGGACTATTGAGAATATATAGCCCTATCCTCTCATAGAAGGGGTCCTGTGGATTCACCACAGTCACAAGAATGGGATCTAAGTCTCCTCATTCCTCAGTAAGCAGCCTCTACTATGAGTATTACATTTATCAGGTTCAGTAGACCATAGCCTGCAGACAGGAGAGCGAGCATCTCAAGTATTTCCCCCAGTTTTTATCTTAAGTCTTTAAATAAGCATTATTAAAAATGATACTGGAAGAGAATTAGGGAAATGTCTTTTCCCAGTGACATAATCGAAAAGGGGCTTAGGACTTGCATGCTGGGTCAGATCTTTGTAGCAGTTCAGAGGTTTCTCTGAGGACTGATAACAGAACTTGACTTATTGCTGGCTAGGAGTGTGAGGGTTGCCTGTTCCCAGGATGTTCAGAGTGTAGTCTAGTTTCATTGTGGCACTGTGAGATAGTGCACTTGCCCAATTCCTTTTATGGTTTTTCATTTGTACTTCACCCTATACCTTAGCCTTTAAATGAGTTCCATAAATTTATTCCTACTTATGGAGTAGAACTGTACTTTTCCTTTGGATTGGAGGGGGAAAAAGAATTCTGTCCAGTCAACCCTACTTACTTTCTTTGAGCACTAAATGAAAGAAAGGGCCAAGAGCTTGCAAACCACCAATTACACATCCTAAAATTACTGTCTTGAGCTTAAAGGGAGAGGCTTTTTGTTGTTTTTGTGGGAGGATTAGTTTTGTTTTTGCTTCAGTGATATCATGGAAGATATCATCGGTGCTGAATTATATGAAATTCATTCCCTATATCTCTTCATCCCAGGATTCCCTCTTGGCTCCTTTTACAATATTAGTTGATTTTAGTGTGCAGACTAGGTAATTGTCTTGAGATAATGTGGCTAGAACTACATGCAAACTAGTTTCCCGTCGCCACCATGGTTAAATTAGTCAGCCATGATGCATAACAAGCAACCACAAACTCTCAGAACATACAATAACAAGTATTTCTTGGTCACATGTCTGCACATCAGTTGGGTTTTGGTGGATTATGGTTGGTCTTGGCTCTGGCAATAAGTTGGTTTGGGACTCTTCTGAATTAGACTTGTCAGATTTAGCAAATAAAAATACATGTGCCCAGTGAAAATTGAATTTCAGATAGACAAATATATATTTAGTATAAGCATGTCTGAGTATGCATGGGGGATTCTTACATTAAAAATTTATTGTTATTTATATGAAATTCTAATTTAATGAGGTGTCTTGTGTTTTAATCGGCAACCTGATTTCTAATGGCAGAAGCACAAGGGAGCAGTCCAGCCTTGCAGGCATATTTAAAGTCTTTGCTTGGGCCATGTCGTCTAACATCCCAGACTTGCCAAAGCAAGTTACGTGGTGAATTCCAAGTCACAGGGTGTTAGGGTGGGAGAGGATACTTCTCCCAGAGGGGTGAGAAGGGGAAGAGATAAATATTAATGAAGAATGATCTAATCTACCAGAGTGATGAATCAATTATTTTAGTAATCTTTGTTATGAAGCTTGGACAAAGACTTTTAGAAAGCCAAATTAGATTGTGGTCACTGCATTTCCATTCATTTGAGTAAATTTACTTCTCTTCCTCCATTCCTTCCTGGTCAGTCAGGAAATTTTATTGATTTAAAAAGAGACCTCCTTATCTACATATTTAATGCAATCCCTATCAAAATACAAACGTTTTTCACAGAACTAGAACAAACAATCTTAAAATTTGTATGCAACCACAAAAAAACCCAAGGAGCCAAAGCAATCTTGAAAAAGCAAAGCTGGGGACATCACAATCCTGGACTTCAAGTTATATTGCAAAGCTGTAATAATCAAAATGGTATGGTACTGGCACAAAAATAGACATAGATCAATAGAACAGAATAGAAAATCCAGACATAAGCCCACAAGGATATGGTCAATTAATCTTCAACAACACAGGAAAGAATATCTAATGAGGAAAAGACAATCTGTTCAACAAACGGTGTTTGGAAAACTGGACAGCAACATGCGAAAGAATGAAACTGGACCACTTTCTTATACCATACACGAAAATAAATTCAGAATGGATTAAAGACCCGATGTGAGACCTGAAGTCATAAAAATCATAGAAGAGAACATAGGCAGTAACTTCTTTCACATTGGCCATAGCAATTTCTTTTTAGATTTGTTTCCTATGGCAAAGGAAACAAAAGCAAAACCAAACTATTGAGACTGCATCAAAATAAAAAGCTTCTGCATAGCAAAGGAAACAATCCATAAAACTAAAAGGCAACCTACAGAATGGGAGAAGATATTTGCAAGTGACATATCTGATAAAAGGTTTGTATCCAAAATCTATAAATACCTTATAAAATGCAACACACAAAAAGTAAATAACCCAATTAAAAAATGGGCAGAAGACATGAACTGACATTTCTCCAAAGAAGGCTTACAAATGGCCAACAACCATGAAAAGATGTTCATCACTTACCGTCAGGGAAATGCAAATCAAAACTATAATGAGATATCACTTCACACCTGCCAGAATGGCTAAAATCAACAACACAGGAAACAAATGGTGTTGGTGAGGATGTGGAGAAACAGGAACCCTCATGTACTATTAGTGGGAATGCAAACTGCTGCAGCCACTGTGGAAAACAATATAGAGGTGCCTCAAAAAGTTAAAAATAGAACTACCCTATGATCCATCAATCGTACTACAAAAACACTAATTCAGAGGTATACATGCACCCCTATGTTTATAGCAGCATTATTTACAATAGCCAAATATGGAAGCAGCCCAGTGTCCATTGATATATGAATGGATAAAGAAGAGGTAATGTGTATATACAATGGAATAGTATTAAGCCATAAAAAGAATGAAATCTTGCCGGGGCACCTGGGTGGCTCGGCCGGTTAAGCATCTGACCCTTGGTTTCAGCTCAGGTTGTGATTTCATGGTTTGTGAGATTGAGCCCCACGTCTGGCTCTGTGCTGACAGTGTGGATCCTGCTTGGGATTCTCTCTCTCTCCTTCTCTCTCTGCCCCTCCCCTGCTGATGCTCTCTCTCTCTCTCTCTCTCTCTCTCTCTCTCTCTCAAAATAAATAAATGTGGGTGGTTAAGTGTCCGACTTCGGCTCAGGTCATGATCTCACAGTTTGTGGATTTGAGCCCTGAGTCGGGCTCTGTGCTGACAGCTAGCTAGATCTCACAGTTCATGGGTTCGAGCCCCACGTCAGGCTGTGTGCTGACAGCTCAGAGCCTGAAGCCTGCTTCCGATTCTGTGTCTCCCTCTTTCTCTGCCCCTCCCTCATGTGTGCTAAAAAAAAAAAAAAAGAAAAAAGAAATCTTGCCATTTGCAGTGATGTGGATGGAGCTAGAGAATATTATGCTAAATATATAAGTCAGTCAGAGAAAGACAAAACTATATGATTTCATTCATGTGGAATTTAAGAAACAAAACCGATGAACATAGAGAGGGGAAAAAAAAGAGAGGCAAACCAGAAAACAGAGTGTAAACTATAGAGAACAAACTGCGGGTTGCTGGAGGAGAGGGGCAGGAGGGCGGGTTAAATGGGTGATGAGTATTAAGAAGTGAACTTGACAATAAACTATTTAAAAAAAAGAAATAAAAACATTTAAAAAATTTACAAAAAAAAAAAAAAAGAAGTGAACTTGTTGTGATGACCACTGGGTGATGTATGGAAGTGACAAATCACTAAATTCCGCTCCTGAAACTAATACTATACTGTACATTAACTAATTGGAATTTAAGTAAAAAGTTGAAGGAAAAAAAGCTTTCCAATAATAAACTTGGATTAACTCTTCATTTATATACAGATTTTCAATGAATATTTTGAACTTTTCTTCAAAAATATGCACAATTTTATTAGACTTATTTTGGAACAGTCTATAATATTTGTAGGTATTGTGAGTGGAATCTTCATTTCCATTAAACTAGAATTACTAATTGACTCTTGGAGGTTATAAGAATGCTGTTGAGTTTTTTGTTTGTCAATACTCTATCTAGTGACTCCTCTAAACTCTCTTTTTAGCACAAGTTTGTGGGTTTTCTTGCATTTCCTATGTTGACAACAGTATTGTCTACAAGTATCAACAATTTCTTTTTTTCTGTAACACTTTTTTTCTTATCAGATTGCATTGACTAGGATCTCAAATACAACAATGAATGATAGGAATTATATCAGTTATCTTTGTCTTATTCTAAACTTTATTAAGAATACTTCTAAAGTTTGTTAACTATTATGTTTTGCTTTGAAGTTTTGACAAATAGCATTCATTAAGATAAAATGTCCTCTTTTAGCCCTATTTTGCTTAGAGTGTTTTAAATAGTAAATGGCTGTTGTGATGGTCAATTTTATGTGTCAACTTGACTGGGCCATAGTATGCTCAGACATTTGGACAAACATTCTGGGTGTGTCTGTGAAAGTATTTCTGGGTAAGATTAACATTTGAATCAGTAGACTGAATAAAGCAGATGACCCTCTCCAGTGTGGGTAGACCTCACAGATCTGAAGAGAAAAAAAGGCTGACCTCCCCCTTCAACTTTGATTAAAAGAGAGCACCTCCTGTCTGATTCCCTCAACATCAGAGTTGAACTGAAACATTGGCTCTTTTGGGGTCTTGAGCCTGCTGGCTTTTGAACTGGAATTTACATTATCAGCGCTTCTGGGTCTCCAGCTTGTCCACTGCAGATCTTAGGACTTCTCAGATTCTGTAATCTGCAATTCTATATAATCTCAGATTCTGTAATCTCTCCCCTCCCCCTCCTCTCTCTGTCTCTTACGTTTGTGTGTGCATGTGTGTGTGTTAATGTATATATATGTGTGTCTGTATCTATATCAATCTACTATTGCTTCTGTTTCTCTGAAGAACCCTGACTAATATAGTTGTTATATATTACTGAATAATTTTCCCACAGCTATTGATATAATCCTGAAGGTTTTATTTTATTTATTTATTTATTTATTATTTATTTATTTGTTTGTTACCTTTAATGTACCAGTATCGACAAGCTTACTTAATATTTTCTAATTTTGAAACATTCCTGAATGTCAAGGACAAGCTAGTTGGTTATGATATGTTATTCCTTTTATATATGGCTGAATTTCACTTACTAATATTTATTGGCTTTTTGCATCTATGATCTTCAATAATATAGGCCTATAATTTTTCCTTTATCACTTTGTTCTTGTCTATATTTGATATTACTGTTATACTCAAAATGAATTGGGAAGATTTTCCTTTCTTCTCTTCTCCCTCCAAGTACTAACCAGGCCTGACTCTGCTTAGCTTCTGAGATGAGATGAGTTTGGGCACATTCAAGGTGGTATGGCTGTAGACCTTTTCTTCTCTTCTTTTTCCCAGTTTGAATGGGAGAGAACTTTAAGGTTTAGTAAACTTACTTGGAAACCAACATGGGCCTGGCATTTATAATGTCAGTATATGTAGAGGATAGATTTTGGATCATAGGTATAGTTTCTTTAATGGTTATTGGCTTATTTATGTTTTATGTTATGTGTATCTTCTGGAATTAATTTTATTAATATCTACTTTTCTAGACATAGTCAATTCAATCATAATTTTCAGACATACTGGTATAAACTTATACATAATGTTATTTTTAAAAAATTTTATTAGTGCTTATTATTTTTGAGAGAGAAAGATAGGGCATGAGTGGAGCAGGGGCAGAGAGAGGGAGACAGAATCCGAAGCAGGCTCCAGGCCTGGAGCTGTCAGCCCAGAGCCCAATGCAGGGCTCGGACTCACAGCTGTGAGATCATGTCCTGACTGAGCCACCCACGAGCCCCTAAACTTATACGTAATGTTCTAATTGTTTTTAAATGTTTCTACTCTCTTGGAAGCTGATGATTCTCCTTTATAATAAGCATAATGTTATTTGTCAGTCTTTGAGACATTCTCCTTTCTCTCTCTCTCTCTCTCTCTTTGATCAGTTTTACCAGGCCTTTTCTATTTCATTTGTTTTTTTTTACTTTGTTGTGTTTATATAATTAATTTTATTAAACTTTTCATACTGTGTTTATGTAATTTTATTAAGTTTTTCATTTAAAAATATGTTATTAATGTTTAAATTTGTCATTATAACCTTCTTTCTACATTGGGTTTACTGATTGATGGACGTTGTGGGATGGGGATGTAATAGAAAGTGAGAATCTCAACGTGTGATTCCAAAGCATGGCTTCAAGAAAGGGAACCTTGTGCATCGTTGGTGGGAATGTAAATGGGTGCAGCCACTCTGGAAAACAGTATGGAAGTTTCTCAGAAAATTAGAAATAGAATTGCCATATGATCCAGCAATTCAGCTTGTGGGTATTTATCCCAAAAAATGATGATGTTAATTCAAAAAGATATATGCAGCCCTATGTTCACTACAGCATTATTTACAATAGTCAAGGTACAGAAACAACTTAAGCGTCCATCAATGGATGAATGGATAAAGAAGATGTAGTGTATATATACAATGAAATTTTACCCAGGCATAAAAAAGAATGAAATCTTGCCATTTGCAAACACATGGATGGACCTTGAGGATATTATGCTATGTGAAATAAGTCAAAAACAGATACTGATTGATTTCAGTTATATGTGGAATCTAAACAAACAGAAAACAAATGAACAAAACTCATAGATACAGAGAACAGATTGGTGGTTGCCAGAGGGGAGTGGGGTTAGGGGATGGGTGAACTGAGTGAAGGTGATCAAGAGGTATAAACTTCAAGTTATAAAGTAAATAAGTCATGGGGATGTAATGTATAGGATGGTGACTATAGAAATAATATTGTATCACACACCTTAAAGTTGCTAAGAGAGTAAATCTTAAAATTTTTCATTACAAGAAGAAAAATTTTGTACCTTTGTACAGTGACAGATTGTAGCTAGGCTTACTGTGGTAATCATTTCTCTTAGTATACAAGTATCAAATTATTATGGTGTACACCTGAAACTAATATGATTTTATATGTCATATTTCAATAAAGAAACAGGTTAAAATTTTTTTTAAATGAGCTAAAGGCATGAATTAAATCTGCCTTAATTTAGGATATTAAGATATAAATGTGTGCACCTACATGTACACATATGCCACTTTTGTTCTAATATTTCAAATTATATTTCGTATATATAGCACTTATTCTCAAAGTGATTTCATCATGAGTGTTCTTCCAATATCATCATGTAAAATATTGTTGCCTAATTATTAAGTAAAGTGATCATGAAAACAATAAGAAACAATGCCAATAAATTTTTATGTGTAGAAAAGTTTATTAGAAAGCAGAGAAGCAAAAAAACATAAAAAAAATTCACTCTGTTAGAAAATATATAACTGGACCCCTAGGTCTGAGGGTATAACTGAACCCCAGGCCAGAGGGTATCAAATCAGGGCACAGAGGTTGCAGATAATATTCATTTTGTTAGAAAGGATAAGCTAGAGCTGTAAAATGATAAGGAAGAATGAGAAATTTAGAGAAGTAGGATTATTTTTTAGCTAATGGATTACAAATTAATACCCATATTTGGTGCCAGTATTGAAAGGAAAAGGTAGTCATGGAAGGAGCTTAACATGAGCCAGAATGTGCTCACAAAGCCTGTGGGACGGTGAGGCTCTGGAATTGTGAGGCTCAACCTGTTGAATGTCAGCCAGACTCCATGCGTCCTAACAGTCAGCACCAAAGAGTCTATATCTGAGGGAGCAGAAGTAAATGGAGATGGTGGTCACAGGGCAGGGGGCTCAGCAGCAAGAGGAGGCACAGCACATGGGGCGGGGGCAGGTGGAGATGACACAGGTGGGGCGATAGCAAGTAGTGTGGCAGGAGACCCGGCCACAGACTGGGCGCAGGCAGCAGGAGGGGCAGCAGGAGGGGCGGCAGCAGCTGGAGCCACAGCTGCTGGAGCCACAGCAAGAGGGACGGCAGCAAGGATGGCAGCAGCTGGAGCCACAGCTGGAGCCACAGCAGGAGGGGCGGCAGCAGCTAGAGATGCAGCAGGTGGGGCGGCAGCAAGGCTGGCAGCAGCTGGAGCCACAGCTGCTGGAGCCACAGCAGGAGGGGCGGCAGCAGCTAGAGATGCAGCAGAAGGGGCGGCAGCAAGGCTGGCAGCAGCTGGAGCCACAGCTGCTGGAACTACAGCAGGAGGGGCGGCAGCAGCTGGACACACAGCAGCTGGGGCGGCAGCAGGTGGTCCTGCAGCAGGTGGTCTGGCAGCAGGTGGGGCGGCAGCAAGGCTGGCAGCAGCTGGACACACAGCAGGTGGGGCGGCAGCAGGTGGTCCTGCAGCAGGTGGTCTGGCAGCAGGTGGGGCGGCAGCAAGGCTGGCAGCAGCTGGAGCCACAGCAGCTGGAGCCACAACAGGAGTTGGCCATGGTGTCAGGGGGTGGAGGTTCTGGGTGGGTTTCCAGATGAATGAGGTTCTCAAGTATGATCTCTCTCCAACCTTTGTTGCTTTTATACCCTGCTGAGGGCTACTATGACCATGTGCAGGACTCTTTTTGTTGTTTATCCTAATAGAAAATCAGTTAGTTTCAGTAAATTAGATAATTATGTTTATCTGGTAAATATTCCTATATATAGAAAAGGGCTCCACTTCCTTCTCCTATTGTATTGTGAGCTATCTGATTTGGTTAAAACCAAGTGAATCAGCTCCCATATGTCTTCCCTTCTCTGATGTGTCTTCCAAAGTAGAAGTATTCATTGGATATCACAAGTATTAATTCTTCATGTATTTAATTCCAGAATAATATGTTGAGGATGGATTTTTATGGTGACTAAATCTGCTGTCAAAGAGGTTAACAACAAGTCATAAGAAATGCTGGTGGGAAAGTAAGATCCTGGAGGGGAGACAGTCCCTAGTGTGCAGTGGGGAATGCTGATTCCTCTGGATTTTATGGATAGTCAGTGAGGTACAAAGGATCCTAACAATTCTATCTCTTTTATCTTACTGAATCTATTCAATTGAAAGTTCTAATGCAGTGATTCACTACTTATAAATAGTAAAAAATCCATTGGCATAAATAGGTCCTTTTAAAAAGTATTAAATTATTATTGCCATGTTCTTCAGAGATCAGGTATCATAAGGTGTATTTTTCCTCTTATTTTAACGGGTAAGCGTTCTCAGTAGAATATGGATAATTGAATACTTTCTTGTGTTCTGAGATGTTATCTCTCAAAAATATGTTTGAGGTGTTTTTCTTGATATAAATGAGATCTAAAGGGTTAAGCTTTAATATGTGTCCTATAGACACTTGAATAAGACAAACAAGACACATATAAAGGGGTTTGGCAAGCATAGAGAACATCGTGTGGTAAATAACAATTATGTATTTAAATCTGTACACTTACAAAATACTAATAGTTACTATTTTTGAGTGCCTACTATGTGTCAGGAATTTTCTGAGTCTTCTGTAATTGTTCTCTTGTTTTTATACTTCACAAGGACTCTAGGAGGTGGAAACGATTTTTCTTAATTCTTTAGTCATGAAGTAATTCATACAATCAGTATGGAAGATGATTCTCTCCTAAAATGTTCAAAGAGGTATGAGGCATAATAATCCTATGTCACTTCTCATACTGTTTGATTTGTGTAAATGTGCTCTCTCCCTTGTCATTTCAGCAAACTCTTGCTCGTACATAAATATCTAGTCCAGATGCCAACTCATCTCTAATATCTGTCTTGACATCTACCACATTCAAGATGAATCATTCATTCCCTTTTGCTCCAAGATATTTGTGATTGAGGGTATCACACTCCATCATAATTGGTTCATATATCTTTTCCCCGATCCTTCTATATGCCCCATGAGGTCAGAGACTATCTTATTCCCATAGGGTGCCTATCAATTGCTCTCACTGAATGTTCGTTGAGTGAATGTGGGGTTTATTGAAAACATAGGGCATTTACTCACCCTTTATCATGCTATAGATAATTTAGATGGATGGAGAAAAGAAAAAAGCATTCAAACAATGGGGATCTGATTTAACAGGGGTTTATTTTTGACTGATGGACTAAATGACTTGTTTGGATGGTATGTGTAGGAAGGTAAAGAAAAATAATTACTGCTACAATGAGGAGAATGTAAAGATATTCCTGAATTTCTATAAAGAAAGTGGTTATTGTATCATCACACAGTTGAGAGAAAGGTGTAAGCAAATATCTAGGCTTTTAAAATATTATTTGGGTGGGAGTGGGTAAAGTGATGGGAAGCAGGAAGAAAGTTCAGGTGGTGGCTGCACACTAGGTATGAGAGATGAATGACTATCTAGGTTGGTGGCAATGGACACAGTAAGGAAGATAGTGACACAATAGATTTCAGAGAGTCAACCAGGATCACTTACAAAATGGGCAATAAGGAGGATACTTGTTGGGATAAGCACTGGGTGTTGTACATAAGCCAATTTGACAATAAAGTATATTAAAAAATAAAATAAAACCTTAAAAAACACACAAAAAAAAAACCAAAATGGGCGATACAGGTAACAGGAGACCTCATTTTTAAAGAGAACTCATCATTTAATATTTTTTTAATTGTATACACATATGTTTTATAATTAAGTTCTGATAGTGGAAAGATAATCATTTGTAAAAAAGAAAATATATTTTAAAAGCTTACCAGAAACAAAGTCAAAAGACAAACGACTGAATGAAAAAAAATACTTGCAACTTACACCAAAGACCGAGTCTATGATGTTAATATATAAAAACCACTTATAAAATTCAAATAGAGAAGAGGCAAAAACCTGATGGAAAAATGAGATAAAGATCTTTCTTCACCATATAAAGATGTACAATCTCATGCATAAGAAAAGAAATGAAATTATACAGGATGCCACTTCTCACCTGTGAGATTGTCAAAAATTCAAAAATTGACAACATTCTCTAGTATCTAGAGATTATGTGGAAATTGGCATGCTCATATCTTTCTTAGGAAGATTTGGCAATAATTAGTGGCATTATTCTTTGAACTATTCTAATTCTATAAATTATTCAAAACATACTCAGGCAAAACTACAAAAAGATCTTATTCAAGATTATTCATAGCAGCGCTATTTGTAAAAACAAAACAACAAGAATAAGAACTAGGCACAATCTGGGTGTCCTTCAGTAGAGTAATGGTGAATAAGCTATGGTGCATCCCCATAACGGATCACTATTCAGCTGTAAAAAAGGAATAAGGGATATCTCTATATGCTACTATGAAGTAATCTGTAGGAAATATTGTTGAGATGACAAAGCAGACAGAGAAAAGGGTCTATAGTGTCCTACAGTGTGTCTAAAAAAATAAGAGAACACATATAGAAATTGTATTGGCTGGGACGCCTGGGTAGCTCAGTCAGTTAAGCATCCCATTTCAGCTTAGGCCATGATCTCATTGTTTGTAGGTTTGGGTCCCACATCAGGCTCTGTGCTGACAGCTCAGAGCCTAGAGCCTTCTTCAGATTCTGTGTTTCCCTCTCTCTCTGCCCCTCCCCTGCTCGTGCTCTGTCTCTCAAAAGTAAATAAACATTAAAAAAAATTTTTAAAAGAATATCTATTTGCTTACATTAATTTTTTAATACTAATGTGGTATGTATATAGAATGGAATATTATTCAGCCATTAAAAAGAATGAAATCTTGCCATTTGCAGGATGATAGAGTTTTATGCTAAGCTAAATAAATCAGTCAGAGAAAGACAGACACCATATGATTTCACTCATGTGTGGAACTTAAGCAACAAAACAAATAAGCAAAGGGAAACAAAAAGAGAGAAATCTAGAAACAGACTCTTAACTATAGAGAACAAACTGATGGTTACTAAAAGGGATGTGGGGGTGGGAAGATAGACAAAATAAGGAATGCACTTGTGATGAGCATAGAGTGATGTATGGAATTGTTGAATCACTGTATTGTACACCTGAAATTAATATAATGCTGTATGTTAACTAATTAGAATTAAAAATGTAAAAAAATACTGTTTAGGTAACACTGGAGAAAATACTTAACAGAGCATATATCCCACAAAGGATTTGTATATAGTACATATAAAGAACTCTTACCACCCAATAAGATAAACAACCCAACAAAAAAATGGGCAAAAGATTCGAATAGACATTCACCAAAGAAAGTATATAGATGGAAAGTCAACCCATAAAAGGAATAATCATTAGGAAGGTTCACATTAAAACTACAATGAAATAACACCATACACACTCTAAAATGGTTGACATTAACAAGACTGACCTTACCAATTTGTTGGTGATAGTATGAAGCCATTGGAACTCTCACACATGGAAGGAACATAAAATGGCAGTCACTTTGGAAAACTGTTTGACAGTTTTTCAAAGAGTTAAAGATACACTTACTATAGGACCTTGCCATTCCACCCCAAAGTACTTACCCAAGAGAAATAAAATCATATGAACAAAGGGAAAATAGAAAGAGACAAACCAAAAAACAAACTCTTCACTATAGAGAACAGATACTTAGGAGAGGGGAGGTTGGATGGGAAGGTGGATGGGTGAAATAGTGCAGGGGATTAAGAGTATACTTATCTTGATGAGCACTGAGTAATATGTAGAATTGCTGAATCATTGTATTGTATACCCAAAACTAATATAACACTGTATATTAACTGCACTGGAATTAAAATTTAAAAAATAAAGTTAAAATATGAGATGTCCATACAAAGGCTTATTCACAAATGTTGATGGAGACTTTATTTTTAATATAAAAAAAATCTGGGAACAACTCAACTGTCCACCCACAGGTGAATGGATAAACAAATGTGGGTCTCTCCATACAGGTCTTTCACTGTATGAAAAAGAAATGAACTAGTGATGCACATGACAAAATGAATTTCAATATAATTATGTTGCATGAAAAGCCAAGCAAGATAGAGTACACACTGGTAGGATTCTATGAAATTCTAGAAAATGGAAACAAACTTATAGTGACAGTGGATCTGTAGTTGTCTGGGGGCAGAGTATAGGAAAGAATTACAGAGGGGGTGATAAATGTTCATTATCTTGATGTTGGTGTTGATTACATCAATATATATATCAAAACATCAAATTGTATACTTAAATGTGATTTTTGTATATCAATTGGACCTTAATAAAGCTGAGAAGAAAAGAAAAAATAATGGAAGTATCAACCGTAATTTGTTTAAGCTTATTTATTTTTTGAGAGAGAGAATGGGAGAGCAGAAAAGACAGGGAGAGAGAGAGAGAAAGAGAAAATCCCAAGCAGGCTCTGCACTACTAGTGGGGCTCAAACTTACAAACTGTGGGATCATGACCTGAGCTGAAATCAAGAGTCATACGCTTAACCAACTAAGCCACCCAGGCACCCCTCAACCATAATTTCTTTTTAAAGTTGACTCAGAGAAGGTAGAGGAGATAGAGTGGAGAAAACAGAGGATAGAAGCTAAATTTTTTAGAATATACCTCTTTCTGTAGGTTTGACTTTGGATTCGTTAGTATTTTACATAATTTTAAAACAAAATTAAAATTTTTAAATCTCAAAATTATTAAAACAATAACAATAACAAAGGGACCTAACTGTATATCCAGGCATAAAAAGCAATTTATTCCAAGATCAAAAATAAATAAGACAGAAAAAGTCTTAAGTTTGTTTTCGGTAACTGTAGTGTTAGTATTGATAATGTTATTCTGAGACTGTTGGACAAACATTATAGAATAAAGAAAATGAGTAAATATACTGGTGTCATTAAGAATTGGTATTTTGGGGGGCGCCTGGGTGGCTTAGTCGGTTGAGCGTCCGACTTTCGCTTAGGTCATGATCTCACGGTTCGTGGGTTCGAGCCCCGCGTTGGGCTCTGTGCTGACAGCCAGCTCGGAGCCTGGAGCCTGTTTCAGAGTCTGTCACTCCCTCTCTCTCTGACCCTCCCCTGCTCACACTGTCTCTCTCTCTCTCTCCCAGAAATAAATAAAAAACATTAAAAAAAAAAAAGAATTGGTATTTTTGGCATAGAATAAATGAGATTTATAAGATATATGAAAAAAAATAAGTAAGATATATGAGGTTAAGTAAAAGCCCTGTAGTTCTCAGTAGAAACTCATGACATGGGTTTATCATTTAAATATATATTTTCTAGTTGTGAACACTGAAAAGGCTAAAAGAAAGGGATTTAGTAGTAATGAACATCACATATTTCAGTTTATGGTCTCAAATACCATTTCTACCTGAAAAGAACTGGGGCTCCTTGCAAAAATGGCTAATTAGAAGTCTGGGGAAGGAAATGTATAAATGAGCCTGCAATAATCTGTTATGTGAAAAAGCAAGGAATTTTCAGACTACTAGATTCATGTGAAAAGGACTTGGAAGCCTACTTAACGTTATTCATTTGAGCATCAATAGAGGAATGTAAACTGGATATACTTGCATCAAGTCTTTTGAAATCCATGAGTTCATATTAATGCAAATATTAAAAAACAGTAAAAACTCTTTTGTCTCCTTTGGAGGATGCAAACTGGTAAATAAAGGGAAAGAATCAAGCATTTATTTTGCCTCTCCTGTACATACTATTCCTTAGGATTACCAAATGTTGATGAGGGAAGTTTATTTTTATGGAATTATCCCAGCTAATAAATGGCAGGCAGAGGAATAATAAAATTGGCAATATCATGATTTTGCTATGCCTAATGAAATAATGGTCTTAGGCAATGATCATCAATAGCTGCTAATATCAAAAACTGAGGGGTGGGGGGCTGGGTGGCTCAGTCGGTTAAGCGTCCAACTTCAGCTCAGGTCATGATCTCGCAGTCTGTGGGTTCAAGCCCCGCATCGGGCTCTGTGCTGACAGCTCAGAGCCTGGAGCCTACTTCGGATTCTGTGCCTCCGTCTCTCTCCACCCCTCCCCTGCTCATGCACTGTCTCTCTCTGTCTCTCAAAAAAAATAAACATTAACAAATAAACAAACTGGGGGACAATGGGACAATATCTGCCTCCTGATGGAAAAGCACACCGTGATCTATAAAGCAGTTTTTGGGTTCCACAGATCTTTTGGGATATGAGTCCCACGTTAACAGGTTTGGCGATTGTCTGGGTATGTTGTGTAACTTAACTGTAGTTATTGGTCTGCGACAAAATGAGGTGGGAGAAGATAGTGAGGGGAGCTTGTGCTGTCTTTCAAGACTGAAACTTCTGCATCATCTTTAAGATGGAGGTGGCACTAAGTGTCAAAAGGAAATTGGATCACTTCTGCAAGCCGAGAGGGTTCAGGGAAATTTGGGGACTCAAGATCTTCAAGTGCATCAATCCAGATGTCCCCATCTTCTATCTCAGGGTCCCCATCTTTCCCAACCAGGGCCCTGACCCTGGCATAGCATAACTGCCTAGACTGAGTAAACAGCCACTCTGGAGCTCTGCTTCTCCTGTGGTGACAGCCTAGCCTTGGTCCTCAGCTCTACTTGCCTTCTAACTGCAGGAGAGGAGTCTGCCACTGAAACTTCTGGCTTTTTACCTCTGTCCTTTAATCTCTTATTTATCACTCTCAGCCTTTCATTATGTTTTCCCAAATCGTCAATTGCTCCCAGCTACATTCAATTTCACTCTCCTTATAATTACTATTAACTGCTTTCAGACATATATAATATGGAAAAGATGTCCCAGGGAGCATTAATTGCTTACAGGTTTTCCAAAAAAGTTTTTCTCTGATCTTTATCCAAGAATTCCCAAGAATATCTATTTTATCTAAGAATTAAGAGATCTGCCAGTGAAACTGAAGCTGTGAGTATGTAAGATTGAAGTGCTGTCTGTCCTATATGTGTACGGACCATATGGTTGTCCAGACAGCATAGAAAGTCTTAAAGAAGAGTACTATCACGCTGATTTTTCATACAGGAAAGAGGTGATTTATTTTGGCATAGAGTTATAACATAGGAAAATTGGAGGGAATAAGAATTATAAAAGAATCCATTGGACAGTTAAGAGAGAGGCTATAAAAATCTGTAATGTAGAAATACTGAAATCAAATTTCACCTCCTTGAGCTTGATAAGCTGGTACCCAAAGGTTAAGGAGAATTTGGGGGAGAATTGGTCACTACAACAATTGGTACGTTGCAAGAAAATTCACACTTGGATGAAAGGGGAAGATCCAGAAGCAGAATTTGGACTGAGGTTAGAATGTGCTCACAGAGTCACAGAGTGGGATGGTGATGGGCTCATTGGGATAATGAGACCCAACTGAGTTGAGCAACATCAACCTCACTCCGTGTGTCCTGACGGTCAGCAGAAAAGGAGGGTCTATATCTGTGGGGCAGAAGTAAGCAGAGATGGTGATCATAGGACAGGGGGCTCAGCAGCAAGAGGAGGCACAGCACATGGGGCGGGGGCAGGTGGAGATGACACAGGTGGGGCGATAGCAAGTGGTGTGGCAGGAGACCTGGCCACAGACTGGGCGCAGGCAGCAGGAGGGGCAGCAGGAGGGGCGGCAGCAGCTGGAGCCACAGCTGCTGGAGCCACAGCAAGAGGGACGGCAGCAAGGCTGGCAGCAGCTGGAGCCACAGCTGCTGGAGCCACAGCAGGAGGGGCGGCAGCAGCTAGAGATGCAGCAGCTGGGGCGGCAGCAAGGCTGGCAGCAGCTGGAGCCACAGCTGCTGGAGCCACAGCAGGAGGGGCGGCAGCAGCTGGACACACAGCAGGTGGGGCGGCAGCAGGTGGTCCTGCAGCAGGTGGTCTGGCAGCAGGTGGGGCGGCAGCAAGGCTGGCAGCAGCTGGAGCCACAGCAGCCGGAACCGCAGCCCTGGTCAGAGCAGACGGAGCCACAACAGGAGCTGACCATGGTGTCAGTTGGAGGATTAGGGTTCCACGAGTAGGTATGAGTGTGTTTCCACAAGGGTGGTTTCTTGAGTTTGAATGTCTCCTTACCTCTCTCCCCTTTTATACCCTGCTAAGTAGTTGATGTTATAGTGAGCAACACTCTTGTTTTTCCTACCAGGAAATCAATTAGTATTACTAAGTTGATAATTGTGTTTATCAGGTTAAATATGCCAATATCTAAGAAAAGCACCATTTCTTTTTTTCTGCAGTGTTGTGTGATTCATTGAATCCTGTTAAGCCATATGAAGCCACTTTTGCATTTTTTTCTGTCTAATGTGTCTTCTAAGTTGGAACTGCCATATAATATTCTGTTACTGAGTTTTCCCCTTGTGTCCTGTTTTCATGTTCAACTCCACAATCATATTTTGTTTTCTTTTAATTCCAGTGTAGTTAACATATTAGTTTCAGGTGTACAATATAGTGATTCAACAGTTCCATACATCACCCAGTGCTCATCACAAGTGCACTCTTTAATCCCTATCACCTGTTTCACCCAGTTTTTCCTCCTATTTCCTTACCAGTAGTACCCCACCTGACAGTACTTTGACCAAAACAAAAACAAAAACAAAAAGTGGGGGGTGGGGGGAGAGACTTGACATTGTGATAGCTATCTTCAAAATGTGATCATGGGTTTAATTCCTTTTTTTATTTTTCCATGATCTAATTTTGAGGATGGCTGTCACAATGCCAAGTCTGTCTGTCTGTCTTTCTCTCTCTTTCTCTTTGGTTAAAGTGGGAAAATGCATGCCACTGTCAAGTGGAGTACTGATAAGGAAATAGGAGGAAAATGGGGCACCTGGGTGGCTTAGTCGGTTAAGTGTCCGACTTTCGCTTAGGTCATGATCTCGCGGTTTGTGGGTTCGAGCCCCGCATCAGGCTCTGTGCTGACTGCCAGTTCAGAGCCTGGAGCCTGTTTCAGAGTCTGTGACTCCCTCTCTCTCTGACCCTCCCCTGCTCATGCTGTCTCTCTCTCTCTCTCTCTCTCCTAGAAATAAATAAATTTAAAAAAAAACATTAAAATTTTTTTTAAAAAAATTTAAAAAAAAAGGAAATAGGAGGAAAGACTCCTCACTGGGATACTTGTGTACAATGGATGTGGAGGGCTGGACTGTGTTTCCTGGTTGATTGGAGACTCAGGGAGTCACAAAAGACATTCCAATCTCATGTGATGACTCTATCTCAAGATGTAGCTTTGACTCATTCCTCTTTGATGAAAGAACCATTTTCAGAAAAGAACTTTTTTCTTCAGGAATCTTCTCCACATATGCTAAAGGTGAATGGGTTTGAGCTATCTTTTGATTGGCCAACATACGCAATGGATTCTGCATTATATTGGAGGTTTTATTTAAAACATCTTCTTGTGCTCTTTCAATAATTCAAATTCAAATCTTTCTGCTTAAAGAGGATATAAACAGATAAGCCTTGCTGTTTGTCCTGCAGGCATTTAAACATGCTATATTGAAAGGCAAAGTTTTGGCAAATATTCAAAGCATCAAAGAAATTAGTGTCCCAAACAAGCATTATGTATTTAGGACTCATGTACTTATAGTGAAAAATAGATACCACAGGGAGATACTATTTGTGAGTGCTTCCCATGTGCCAGATAGTCTGCTGAATGCTTTGTAATTATTGTGTTGAGTTTTCTTCTCCAAGAACCCATGAGGTACTTATTATTCTTTAAGAGTTTATGTAGACTTGTGTTAAGGTTATTAAGTTATGAGGTGTAAACAGTACTAATTCCGTATCTTTGATTGTGCCGTTAGGCCTTCTTAGAAAGTTCATTCTCCCACATCAACTCAGCAATTTCTTATCTCTCTTTAAGTTCCAGCCCAGATGATTCCTCCTTTCTCATGTTTTCCTTGACCTTTATTTTTTTTTAAAGTTCATCTGCTCCTCCTTTATGCTTGCTATCACATTGTGGAACCCTCAAACTTCACACATCTAATGTTACCTGAATGTGATTCTCTGTCTCCAGCTGGATGGTAAACACCTGAGGTGAACACTTGTCCCATAGGTTTATTTCCATCATGCATGGAATAGAGCACATCATCAGTGGCTTTTAAAAAAAAAATTTCTAGGAATCACTTTTTAAATTTAAATGTTTTGCAATTCTCTAAAGTACTTATGGTCTCAAAATAAATTCTACAAAGTGAGGCATGTTTAAGGAAGTCCTGCTATTTTTATTCCCTCCTTCCCCCTTAGAGAATCATTTTTATAATCTAAGGATTTCTCTCTCATTGCTATTTTAAACACAAGTGTATTTGTATTTGCATAATTGTATCTCCTTTGTTTCTTAGATAAACGGTTATACACTGATATGCTTAGCTCCAACTTGCTTTGCTTCACTTAAAAATTTATTGCAAATTATTTCAGAGTAGTATGTATGTTTCAATATTCTTCATTTCATTTTCAGCCACAACGTATCCCATTCTGTTGCCATAATATGATTTATTTAGCCAGTCCCTTATTGATGGACATTTGGGTTGTTTTCAGGCTTTCACTGTTAAAATAATACTGTGCATTTGAAAATAAGAATTATCTTTTTTTATCTTGGGGGTTGTGAATTTGATGTATATCTGTAAGATCTACCTTATTAATTACGTGTAGTTATTTCACATTCTTATTCATTTTTCTTCACGTGTTCTTTCTTTAAGTACACAGTGTGTTAGTCTTTGTATGGGGTGCCTGGGTGGCTCAGTTGGTCAAGTGTCCAACTTTGGCTCAGGTCATGATCTCAACAGTTCGTGGGTTCGGGCCCCACATGGGGCTCTGTGCTGACAGGTAGCTCAGAGCCTGGGGCCTGCTTTGGATTCTTTGTCTCCCTCTCTCTCTGATCCTCTCCTGCTCACGCTGTCTCTCTCAGTCTTAGAAATAAATAAAACATTAAAAAAATTTTTAATATGTATTTAATCAATCCATTGACTTGTTAATTTCAATGATGCTGTCTTTCATTTCTTTTTTTATAATTGGAAAAATTAATTTTATTTAATTTTAATTCAGTTATTTAAATTCAAGTTTGACAACATACAGTGTAGTATTGGTTTCAGGAGTAGAACCCAGTGATTCATCTCTTACATATGACACCCGACACGGGGCTCAATCTCACAAACTGTGAGATCATGACCTGAACCAAAATCAAGCGTTGGACATTTAACCAATGGAGCCACCCAGGTGCCTCTAAAATAAAATTACTTTATACTGATATAAATCTTATGTCCTCATCAAATTTACTTACTATTTTCAGGAGTTGTTGTAGTGTGGGAGTGCAACCTTCTGTCAGTTCCCACCCCAAGTGAGTAACTGATGATTAGCTCCATTCTATTCCTCAACAGTGAACCTATCCCTCTATCTCCCTCTCCTAACTGGGCGGTCTTTGCGTGGCTCTAGGTTTGAAGGGTAGGATACATCATTAGTAAACCTGTCCTTCTGGAAGCCATGTCCCCATTTCTATCACAGATATTTTCATCTAAAGAAGGGCTTCAAAGCTCAGTCTTATTTGTACAAATAAAAGTACAGAGAAAAGATATTGTATAGAAACCTGAGTGGGCAAATGTATAGGAAAACATTTAAAAGTAAATTCTTCAACTCTACTGGAATACTCCATTACTATAGAGAGCTTTCTGTGTTTTGGTCTCTAGTATCTTTTTTAAAAAACATTTATTTTTGAGAGAAAGAGGGAGAGGCAGAGAGAGAGGGGTACAGAGTTTCTGAAGCAGGCTCTGCACTGACAACAGAGAGCCTGATGCAGAGCTTGAACTCACAAACCATGAGATCATGACCTGAGCTGAAATTAGATGCTTAACCGACTGAGCCACCCAGGCCCCCCTCTAGTATTTTTAACTGTGCCTCCCATGTAAGAAATGGTGATAAATACCCTTTGGATGAGTGAATGAAGAAATTGGCATTTGGAAGGGCCAATGAAAGCAGACCCACTTTTGAGTGAAAGCACTGGGCCCCTGTTTCTCCGTGGAAGCAATTGACAGGAACTCAGGAATCTCTCTTATGTGGTTATGCAGTCAGCAAGTGCCACAGTTTCCACCAAACACATCATCTTATCAAGGGCCTGCTTTACTCATCTAGCCTATCTGCCTGTCCCCTGAATGCATGAGGATTTGAAACTTCTCTATCAAAAGAAAAAATGAGACATGGCTGAGGTCGTATTGCAAATCGAGTCAAAATCAGTGCACATTTAATTAGCTGCATAGATGACACTGGTGTCATTGAGTACACATCTGCATACAAACTTGCATACTGTACCCAACAACATGTTGGACAGCCATGGTGGCTGGTGTGATTTATGAAACGTGAGTTGTATTCTTTTTCCTTACATACTTAACAGTCCTCCAAATTTCTGGTTTTTACTTTTGTTTGTTGATTTTCCTGGGACAGGTTCATTGTTAAGTGATTTGCCTAGGAAATAAGGAAGCACATAAGAAGGAATCAGGCCTTTAAAACTAAGAATGGAACCTGACGTTTACTGAGGTGACATGACTGTGTTGTGTATCCTGCAGGTGGGTGTAGGTCAAACTCATTTGCCTACAAGCTGAAGACAAAATCTTAAAGGAGCGACAATCACACTGAATTGTTAATGAAGGGAGGTATAACTTTATTTTGGTACAGATATACATGAGGTTACAGAAAAGAGGAGTTATGAGAATGATGTCACGAATTGTCAGGGTGAAGGGTAAAATCTGTTACTGTGCTCTGGGCCATATCCATCTTCTTCAACAGCATGACCTGGTTCTTCAGTGGAATCAAGGCCCAATTCAGTTAAGCATCATCATTTCCGCTCCATGTGTCCTAGCAACACAAAAGGAGGGTCTATATCTGTGGGGCAGAGGTAAGCAGAGATGGTGGTCACAGGGCAGGGGGCTCAGCAGCAAGAGGAGGCACAGCACATGGGGCGGGGGCAGGTGGAGATGACACAGGTGGGGCGATAGCAAGTAGTGTGGCAGGAGACCCGGCCACAGACTGGGCGCAGGCAGCAGGAGGGGCAGCAGGAGGGGCGGCAGCAGCTGGAGCCACAGCTGCTGGAGCCACAGCAAGAGGGATGGCAGCAAGGCTGGCAGCAGCTGGAGCCACAGCAGGAGGGGCGGCAGCAGCTAGAGATGCAGCAGGTGGGGCGGCAGCAAGGCTGGCAGCAGCTGGAGCCACAGCTGCTGGAGCCACAGCAGGAGGGGCGGCAGCAGCTAGAGATGCAGCAGGTGGGGCGGCAGCAAGGCTGGCAGCAGCTGGAGCCACAGCTGCTGGAGCCACAGCAGGAGGGGCGGCAGCAGCTAGAGATGCAGCAGGTGGGGCGGCAGCAAGGCTGGCAGCAGCTGGAGCCACAGCAGCTGGAGCCACAGCAGGAGGGGCGGCAGCAGCTGGACACACAGCAGCTGGGGCGGCAGCAGGTGGTCCTGCAGCAGGTGGTCTGGCAGCAGGTGGGGCGGCAGCAAGGCTGGCAGCAGCTAGAGCCACAGCTGCTGGAACCACAGCAGGAGGGGCGGCAACAGCTAGAAATGCAGCAGGAGGGGCGACAGCAAGGCTGGCAGCAGCTGGACACACAGCAGCTGGGGCGGCAGCAGGTGGTCTGGCAGCAGGTGGGGCGGCAGCAAGGCTGGCAGCAGCTGGAGCCACAGCAAGGCTGGCAGCAGCTGGAGCCACAGCAGCTGGAGCCACAACAGGAGTTGGCCATGGTGTCAGAGGGTGGAGGTTCTGGGTGGGTTCCCAAGAGAGTGAGGATCTCGAGTTTGGGAGCCTCCTTGCCACATGGCCCCTTTTATACCCCCTTGAGGGACTTAAGTGATTAGGAAAAGACTATTTCCTTCTTATTGTTTATATAGCTGCAAATGCAATTAGTAAATGAGATCATTATATTTTTCTAGGAAAAACTCCCAATGTATAGAAAGTAGTTCTTTCCCTTTTCTCAAGTTCCCCAGAGTTCTCATATGAATCATTTCTTATTTCTTCCTTTGTTTATAGTGTCACAAGACTTTAATCTCTGGGTATCATGTGACACAGGTGGGTCCCTGTGTCTGCTCTGTTACTCACCTTGATATGATTGTGGGAGAACTTCTGAAGGAGTATGATCTCTAGTGGAAAATTAATGTTTCAGTAAATGGAATGCTGGTAGCAGAAAAAGGGAAGTAAGCTTCTTTTCGAGTGTAAGAAATGAGGAAACTTGATTTGTCATGTTTATTGTGGGTGGTCATTGGGTTAATGAAATTTCTACAGAATTCCAAGCTCTGTTCTCATCACTCTGATGTTCATTGAAGCAGTTAGCAGCAATTCAAGGTTTTTAAGTAGCAAAGAGTTGTGTGGAGTTGATCAAAGTTGATCAGAAATATCCTCTGGCCTGGACTAGACTAATTGAGCTGATCATTTTTGATCTGTCTTTTGAAATATCAAAATATGCCATGGTTGTACTTTATGGTCATTTTATTAAATTTTTTTTCAAATGTTATAAGCTAAAATGCCTACAATTCTTGTGGTATCATTTATGTTTAAGATCTTCTTGGAAGCATCAAGGGGAATATAAATGACATATTTATTATCTTGTACTTGACATAGTCACTACATCCATAGAGTTTTACCATCACAGCTATGTCTGGTTATGCTCCTAAATAAGAGGTGTTCTTCAGTGCCACAGGCATTCAAGGAACAAAACATTCAAGGAAAAGGTAAGTTACACTCATGGTAGTCCCTCTTCCTGCAAAATCTCTTGTGAGCTCAACATTCTCCTTGTTGTCTTTGACCGTTTATCTTTCAGTTATATCTTCCTTGGTATGATGTAAAGTCTTTTCTCCTTTGCACATCCACTGTGCTTTGTTCATGCATGGGCTCCATCATACCATTTTCTACTAGAAATGCCCTTATATATCTGGCTCCCTCTAGAATATAAACTACATTAGGGCAAGGACTCATCTTTGTATCCCCAAGGCCAGAAATAGAGTGGTTTTTGATAAATGAGATGTCTGTTTAATGAGTGAAGATGTTGTCTAAGCCATCAGAGAAGACACATTGACCTTTTGTTGTTCAAGAGAAGGGACAACAGTTGAGACTAGACATAATCCTGGCTTGTGATGATGAAAGGAAAATGTCTTGAAGGTCTGTTTTAAGAAGTAGTGAGAGATAAATTGAGATTGCTACAATGAGGGAGAGATTGTGTATGACCTTAAATTTCAGGAGAAATGATGGGATCTACTGAAAGTCATTAGGTAGGAATGTGATATATATGCCATATACAATTTATTTAAATTTGTGATCTGTCTTTAGAAATGCCAAAATACATTTGGCTTTCTGGAGAGGCTGTTCAAAGGTTGAAATGGGGCAAAGTAAGAGGTATGTTCACAGCATTGGTTGATGGTAATGAGCATAACAGAGTTACTTCAAAAAATGAATCAGCAAAGTCTTGAACCAAATTGAAAATAGAGATAAGGGTGGGGGGAACCTGGGTGGCTCAGTTGGTTAAGAATTTGAGTCTTGATTTCGGCTCAGGTCATGATCTCATGGTTTCGTGAGTTTGAAACCCACATGGGCTCTGTGCTGACAGGGTGGAACCTGCTTGCGATTCTCCTTTCTCTGCCCCTCCCCTGCTCACACCCTCTGTCTTTCTCAAAATAAATAAATAGACTTTTAAAAAAATAGAGGTATGAGGAGGGTTTTTCATAAAAGTTATAAAACATATTCCATTGTTTTTTATGTATTTTATTACTTTCCACATATATAATTTATGCCCTTCCTCTTAAAAGCCAACAATTAAAAATTTTAAAGGGTAAATACATAAAAAGGATTTATGTGCTAAAAAAAGAAGAGCTGAGGCCATTTAAAGACAAGGAAGAGATGTTTATATTGAAACACAAGGATGGGATATTTGGCGTAATTATGCACTGTTCTTCTCCGGAGTCTAAGCCAAGGGAAGACACAGTGGATTATGGAATTCCTGTCTTTCGTGCCTTCCATCTCCAGGCTCTGAGTGCTGTATGCAGAGCACTTTGTTGGATACTGCCGTAACACAACAACTCACAGTTATGCAGTTGTGCGGGCGCTTCACATGTATTAGCACATTTGCTATCCCAACAGCCCAGTGCAGTATGTTTCACTATAGTCGCCCCTTTACAGATGAGGAAACTGAGGCAAGGGAGAATTAAAACCAGTAAATAAAAAGCTGTTATTTGTTTCCAGCTTACCCAGCACAGGAGTCCACGTTTTTAATCACTATACACACTGCATCTCTGAAATATCAGATGGGAAAGAAATTGTCTTCACCCTCCTGTTGCTCGAGGTTACTAATTCAGAGTGCATTATTAACATATAAATAAGCATGAAACTTAAATAGAGTCATTTGAAACCCCACTGTCAGCAAATATCTATGAACAAGTATACTGGGGAACTTCAAATTCCCTTTCATGGGTCTAAGAATCCCTGATGTTCACTATTCATATAATATTTTTCTATTTCTGTTTGGAATTAGCTATGACCATACACTATTTTTCTTAAATAATTCAAACTAAAATCTGTAGTCCCTTCTGGATGATAAGTTGTTTATATTGTAATAAAGGAGAACATACAGTACTTAAACAGTTCCCTTGGAATTTACCTCTGTGCCCCAAACATGCTCACTTATTATTTAATTCTCTTCGAGGGTAGGGAAAGTGCCTACCCAGTAAAGCTGCCTCAGACAAGGTAACTGAATTAGAATTGGGTGACAGTATTGCCTACCATTTTCCCCAAGGGGCTAGAAACCTTTTCCCCAGCCCCATGTCTTCCTGCTGGTTGAATGAGTCCTCTGGTCGTGCCCTTTGAGCTGTGCGGTGGGTTGCCGCTCTGTATCCAGCCCTCTCCCCATATGAGCTGTGGCAAGACCAGCATTGCTAAAATGTGAAAAGGAAACCATCTCCTTTAGAAGGGGTGCAGGAAAAGTCTAAATGTTGCTTAGCATTGTCTTGGATAGGGAAGAAGTAGAGAATAAAAATAAATAAAAAAGTCTTTGGGGAAGGGTTTTTATATTTTGCATCTTTTATATTTTAAAATTTCATTTAAACATTTCAAGTATCTGTTTTTTGACACATGTATTCTTCCCACCTTCTTCACGGTTTGCCCAGGTTCCCTCCTTGAAGGCAGCCAGAGTTTCCATTTTTTTGTTACTTATTCTGAAGATACTTAACACATAAGAAACAAATACGATTTACCCACTTCTTTCATCTATACAAATGGTAGTGTATCAGTCATGGTCCTCCTGCTTGGCCGTTTTCACATGAAGCATTCAGATAGATAATATATCCACCGCTTGCCATTCTTTTTCTTTCACAGTAGCATTGTATTCCGATTATGGAGGTACCATAATATAGTGAATCAGTCTCCCACTGTTGGATATTTAGTTTGCTTTTAGTCTTTTGAGATTACATATAATGCTGCAACAAATATGCCTGATCATACATAATTTCACACATGTGAATGTTTTCTGTAGAATAAACTCCTCTGGAAATAGAATCTCTAGATCAGAGTATACATTTGTTTATAATGTTTGTTAGATAACAATGACTTCACCTTCCATAGAGATTGTACTGATGTACACATCTACCAGCAATGTGTGAATGTTTGTCTTTCTCTGTTTTTATTAATGCAGTGATACACAGGCTTGACAAATACAGAGATACATGTACAAAAATGTGGAGTTATGCATGTAGATGCCTATCCATCTATCTGTCTGTCTATCTATCTATCTATCTATCTATCTATCTATCTATCTATCATCAATCTTGGTCAATATGATAGCTGACTTTTTTCTTTTTCAAAATTTTTTTTTAGGTTTTTATTTATTTCTAGGAGAAAGAGAGAGAGACAGCATGAGCAGGAGAGGGTCAGAGAGAGAGGGAGTCACAGACTGAAACAGGCTCCAGGCTCTGAGCTGGCAGTCAGCACAGAGCCTGACGTGGGGCCTGAACCCACGAACCGCGAGATCATGACCTAAGCGAAAGTCGGACGCTTAACCAACTAAGCCACCCAGGCGCCCCTCTTTTTCAAATTTTTATTTAAACTCAATTTAGTTAATGTTTAATGTAATATTGGTTTCAGGAGTAGAGCTTAGTGATTCATCACTTATGTATGACACCCAGTGCTCATCACAAGTGCCCTTCTTAACCCCCATCACCCATTTAGCCCATCCTCCACCCACCCACCCCCATTGCTATGTGATTTTAATTTGCACTTTCCTTGTTGTAAGTGAAACTGAGCAGCTCTTCAGATGTTTAAGCCTATTGGTATTGCCTTTTCTGTAAGGAAACATAGAAATTATATAGAAAAAATAGAAATTTTCTATATTGTCTATAATTCATGTTTTTCTACTGTGTTTAGCCTTTGTACATTGATTTTTGCAGGAACTCTTTGTATGTTATAAGAATTAGTCCTTGTATGTAAAGTGAATTCAAATATTTTTCCTAGTTTGTGCTTCTTCTTTGACTTTACTTATGTGGTTTTTACCATGCAGACATTTACTTTTGATATAGTCAAATTTGTTAATCTTTTATGACTTCTGGGTTGGTGTCATACTTTGAAAGGCCTTTCTGGTTGTGTAGACATTATCTCGTAATTTCATTTATCCAAAGTTTCATGTTTTATATTTTCAAATATTTACTCTATAAGGAATTTATTCAGCTATAAAATTTGAGGTTTAAATGTTTTTAAATCTGATAT